TTACTGAGAATAGCAATAATAGATTTATGTTATATCGTACAAGTTATTCCAGTTGGGTATAATAGAAACGATGACATAACAATAGTTACAGAGTAGTATCAAAAGTTGAATATACTTGAATAGATAAAACAATAGCTTCGGAGTACCACTAAAGTAAATATTCGAATATATATATATATATATATATATATATATATATAACAATAGCTACGGAGTAGTACTAAAAGTTTATTATACTAGTAAAGTTAATAAAACAATATCTATGGAGTAGTACAAGAGAAAAACTAAAATGTTGTTTAGATGTTCAAAATGGCCGAAGAGTCGCCACTTTTTCCTATGGGCATATTTCACTTTTAGCATGCAAGTTCCATGACTACAAAGGGTGAATTAAGTATGTTAAAAGTGTTTATATGCCATTTTGAAACAGCGGTCACTTATCGACCTTTTTGAATGGTGATTGAACAGTTTAGTTTTTAGAGGGTATCAAGTTACAGTGTAGTAGTACATTTTAGTATACTAGTATAGATATAACAGTAGCTACAGAGTACTTCTAAAAGTTGAATATACTAACTAAAGATATCATATAACATTGGCTATGGATCACTACCGACATGTGAATATATTAGTATACATGAAGCTATCAAAATATGTACTGGGTATTACCGAAACGTATCACTTATAATAATAATAATATTCCGCTTTTAAATAGCGCTTAATACAAATGTCTCTAAGTGCTTTACATATATACTATTACCCAGATCATTGGATTCAATTCTTGCCCGCACGTACTGTGTGCACAATCTCCACTCCCTACGGAGCATTCAAGTCAGGCGTTACTTGACGCTCAAAAACTGGAACTTCGGAACGTCATACTGGCCAGGTTGTCAAGGTTACTGGCTCCCAACAAATGTGTGCAAAACACCAGCTTTACACACTAAATTTGCCCTGCTTTAACCCGTTGCTTGAATGATTTGCGGTGGACCTAATGCACAGGCTCTGTCGTATAGAACCAGTAACCCGGACGGCGAGTGAATATTTAGTTGCTCTATAGACGAACCTTTAAAACCTCGGTCACACGGCCAAATCCACGCCGGCTCTAAGCCGACCAATTATTGTAGGGGCATTCTGTTTGGTCTTTGGTCAGAATCGTATGAATCTCATCGGTGTGAGTAGCGTATATAGGTAGGTGTCATAGTCTTTTGGATACCGGACTGTGGATCAGATGGTTCGCGATTCGATTCCCACCGTGGCACTAATGTCCTTTGTTAAAATATTAATCTACATTTGCCATACTCAACCAATGTGTGGTACCCGGCAGGAGTTAAATCCTTGAAATACTAGAGCGCCATAATTACATGATAAAGCCGGGGTATTAAATGTGGAGAACTTTGTGGAGAATAATGGCGTACAGATACATTCTCGCTTTCCTCCATGATATATTTGATGTCAAGTATAATGTGCGTCAGATGTTTGTATCTCATTACACAGAGCTCAGTAAATACGCGCATCTTATATTTGTGTTCTTCTTTTTTTCTTGTGGCGGTTTACCGCATAATGTCTGAACGAGTATTGCAGTGGCCATAATGTCGTAATCGTCTAGATATAGCATTAAAATAACCAAAGCTGATTTTTTTTTCCCCCGTCATTCCACATCATATTCGAAGAAAATCTATGGTCAGCATCTATTAAAACAAACAAGTGTGGTCTAATTATCCTTCTGCTTTTTTCGCGTTACCCTGGCATAGACGTCCTGGAAGTTTTGGGTGCCATCTTTCCCCGTCCGAGTTAGATTACTCGTAGAGGGAAGGGTGGCATCTTTAGAAAGATTGACGTAAATTTCATCTTCATCATCTAGTAATAGTGTGTTAGAGTATGTTGTCATTGATGTTGGAGGGGTGTTTTCCTTTTTGCGGGTTTTCATGACATCATAGTCGAGTGCTGCGTAGACCGTATCTTCCCGAGAGCGAAGAAGAGCGGGTCTTGGAGGAGGTGCCTTCTGATGTGAAATGTCAATGTAGATCAAACCATCACCATCCATCCTCTTTGACACTGGTACTTTATGGGAGGTTGGTGAAATATCTACCGCCTCCCCGAAACAAATCGAGTCATGGAAGGAATTTACAGTGGATCTCCCGGGTCCAACATAACGAACAGGCACATTTTTGCATGCTTGGGAAGGGTGATTATTTCTTTGTCGGTTGCTGTTGGCTAACTCATCCTCATTAGCCCGAATTGTTGACGTCACTGACGCCTCCAGGATGTCTTCCTCTTTATTGAGGGCCCCCATGGCATCATAGTCAAGCGATGCATAGATTGTGTCTTCTTTAGAGCGAGTAGGAGCGTGTCTTTGGAGATTAACGGTGCCATGTGAAAGGTCGATGTAAATCAAACCATCATTGTCCATCTGCCGAGGGTCAGGTACTTCTTGGGATGTTGCCAAACTGAGCGCCCTCTTATCATCCTCTTCCATCTCAAACACGTCTTCCATCTCTTCCTCCTCTTCTTCCTCCTCCTCCTCCGTCTCGTCTTCTTTCTCATCTTCAGGAGCGACAATTGCATTACTAGGGTCAAGGGTGACGTGAATATCGGATCCCACGGGCCCATGGTAATAAGCATGTATAACTCTAAGATGATGATCAATGGCAGGTGGAGCGATGTCGTTGATGAGCACGTCCTCTTCTATCTGCATGGTATTAGAAAGAGCGTAAAGATAGAGAAATGCATAAGTCTTGTTTATGCATGAGTGTTGTTTTCTTTGACATTAGGCTTTGTTCTTTAGCTCAGATTACTGAAAGATTTTTAACAGAATATTGGAGGACAGAGCATTTGCATTAGCAGCTCTTTTTCCTATATGTGGAAGAGGTTACCATTTTCTCTTCCAACAGCCAGTACCATTTCAATTGTCAAAGCCATACCTAAACACTCATTATGCTTGCTAGCTAAATAAATTTTCCCTACTTAAAGTTCAACGTTTAGTTCTTGTACCTCATATACCTAGATTGATTCACTTTGGAGCTTTTGATTTGAAATTATGTTGTAGGCGCCTTGATCAATAGTAGAGATGGATACGTCCTAAGCGCTTTATAAGTATTGCCATTATTGTAAAAACTTATCATTATCATTAGAAGTAGTAGTAGTAGTAGTACCAGTAGGAGTAGTAGTAATAGTAGTGGTGGTGGTGGTAGTAGGAGTAGTAGTAGAAGTAGTAGTAGTAGTGGTAGTAGTAGTAGTATTAGTAGTAGTAGTAGTAGTAGTAGTAGTAGTAGTAGTAGTAGTAGTAGTAGTATTGTAGTAGTAGTAACAATAGTAGTAGTAGTATTGTAGTAGAAGTAGTAGTAGTAGTAGTAGTAGTAGTGGTAGTAGTAGAAGTATTAGCGGTGGCAGTAGCATAAAACCTGACATGAAACAAAAGGGTGTACCATTTGTCCAGTGCTTGGTCGACTTTCACTTTCTGTTCCTGGCTTATCTGTGAAAGACAATACGGAATATAGGCACAATCATGGAAACAGTTTATATAGCCACATAATTAATTCAGTACCAAAGTATAATGCTGTGTGCAACGGGACGAAATATACGAGAAGGATGAAATGTCAAAATGTTGTTGTTGTTGTTGTTGTTGTTGTAGTTTTTATGGCGTGTATCATTCATTTGTGAATATTTACGCCGAAGGGAAACTATCATTCCAGTCTCTCTTCAAGTAAGCTCGGTGCATGTTATATTACTTTAACTCGTCTAAAGAGGTCGTTACAGCCAATGTAAAGTGCATGGCCCTATGATCCATTTTGCAGTGAGCCAACTTGATGAGAATGTTTTTTAAATATTTGTTGACAATCTGTATTTATGGTCAAGAACCTTCTAACTCTAGAAATAATATTTCGTAAATCATACTGATGTAGAGTTTGTTTTTAAGTTATGGGCTGTGGTTCACGTATTTTTTTTCTTTAAAACATTCATTAAACCCAAAACATGTTTTAGGGAAGCAGCAAAAGGTTTGAAAAACCTGTACAAGGCTGCATCACCAGCAACAGTAGTGATAACTATTTTTTTTTTAAATAGTAAACAAGCTAATGTATCGATGAAATAGTTACAGGGATAACATATATACAATATGAATATGAATACAAAATCATTAAAACAGAATTTATCACATGCAAATATATATTAAAATTATGTTAAAAGTGACCAAATGGTACACAAGTTTCAACAGAATAGTCAGGGTGTTTATTAAGGTGTCGTTATCAGGTAGCATTAAAACAGACAATTGATGAATCTGTGAATGGATAACCGAGTATTGGAATCTATACTCAGTTAATATCAGGAAATAAAATAGCATTGGAGATAGAGAAAGAAATTGAAAAACACGAAAGGAGAGGGGGAGGGAGAGGAAGATATAAACCGAAAGGACGAAACAGTGATAGGGCAGGAGAGAAATAGAGGGGAGAGACAGAGAAGAGACCGAAAGAGGGTTCCTTCTCTTGATCCTTACTTTTCTTCATGCTCACGTAGCAATGCCTCATAGAAAACATCAAACCCAGTGAGAATAGCAGAATGATGGCAGAAGCACCAACCACACCCAAGATGATTGTCAAGAAATATGTCAATCTAGATGCCGACGTCACTACAATCGGAAGGTCAAAGGTGAAAAGGAAACAATTAGTTTTACATGACTAAAAGCTATCACTTATTTGTAAGAAAATAATTAAACAAATAAAAATCATAAATATATGAAATGGTTGGACATTTCTGTTATGCAACAAAAAATAGTCTAACGCTTCATACTTTGTCTAAATAATATTTCAACAATCATTATGATCTTTCAATATAAAGTTATCGTCCCCGCTCTAATATACAATACAGATTCGGAGTGTATGAGTGAATGTTGATTGGCTGATCTGTATGTCAATCATTACTGGATATGCTAAGCGATGCATTAATTAAGGTACGAAAGAAATTAATGATGCTGCAAAGAGAACATAGTAAGATCGAACACTGACCTCTGGGATAATCCGGTTCACTACACAAACCCCTTCCAAAGGTCACCACAACTGGGTCTTCTTCCGGACCTATGCTGACCTCTGTGCCGGGTTCAATGCACTCTGTTCCATTAACAAAGTCACATTCGGTCCTATTGCGAAGGATAATGAAGCAGAGTTCCTCTATGGATGGGTCTGTATTTGTTCTCTCTGAAAGGGCCAGGATTCCTGTCGATGTGTCCAGTGTGATGTAAACTCCTATATACATTCAGAATTAGAACAAGGGAGAAAATCTTAAATGGAGACTGGCACGAGATTTTTTTCTTCTTCGATATATACAGTGCGTCCGAAAAAAGGAGGCTCGAAAGTAAAATTTATTGTTAACTTACTATGACTTTTATACTTTAATGTTCTTGCTTGTCATTAAGTGAAAGTAATAATATATGCTTTCAAATGATACACTTACTATATTAATGCATAGTTACATGCTTTATTATTCTTTTCTTTCTTTTCAAAAACGTGTGTTGAAGAGGATCTTTGTGTAAAGAATGCCCCAGGGTTTCATTTGGTGTTTTAACATACGCATTTTTATGTAGACATATTAGAATAAGAAAACACCCGTTGGTCTTTTCTTGAATCGAGAAGTATAAAGCTGTTTAGGCTATGCTTACCGTAATTTCTTGGCGATAACGCTGCCAGCATTGGCAAACCAGAAAGACGAGAGAGAGAGAGAGAGAGAGAGAGAGAGAAGCAAATACAGGGGAAGATCAGCTTACGTTAAATATCATCTGAACCAGATACTTCTCCTTAATTGAACATCGATATCATTGAAAGGTATTTTAATTTAGACACCAAAATCCCGGCATTCACTTTACATAATATGCTTAAGACATGCAAAAGTGAAAGGAAAGAATAGTGATTTCAGCAAAATGAATTCATAAATTATCATTTTCATTGACAATTAAAATGGTCGAATATATGTATGAATTAGAATCGTTATTTGTTTTGAGGTGTTGTGGTGCAGTGTTTCATTCACTTGACTCTTAATCCAAGGGTTCGAATGTCTGCCCAAGACTAACATCCTTTGGCAAGAAAGAAAGATATTTGCCACTTTCCACCCAGGTGTAAATGGGTACTTGGTAAATAATTATTACAGGGGCCTCAGAAAGAACAGCATAGAACAAAAGGATGATTACTATGTATTCTATATTTTATTATTTACATTTATTTTCTATACCTCTGTTATATAATCAAAATTTAACATGGAATTTACAATCGACACAGCTGGAAACTTCGGACATTAAAGGAAGGTAATTTGAATTGTAGCAAATGTGTATCATACGTGCTGTTGACGCCATGGCTTTCCTTGTACTACTGTTCCCGGCAACGTTCGCCGCCCACAGAGTAATTTCGTACCAGGTGTACGGTTTTAGGCTCGTCAGAGTATAGTTCGTCCCAGCTATGTGTGTTGCAAGATCACACTCTTGATCTAATGGTTCTAGCGTTTCATTTGTACAGTACTGAAGGCTAAAGGTTTGTTGGAACCCGCCATAGAATCCTGGTTGCCAGGCAAGAGTGATGCTCGAAGAAGTCGTCTGCTGTCGGTATATTTCTAGGTTAGAAGGCGCATCCGGAGTAACTGTTGTGGAAATAAGATACAATCAAGTCAGTAAAAACTTCCCACACTTCAGCTGGTTACAAGTTATGGATAGTGGAGCATAGCGTTACTGATGTTATTAATTTATTCAGCGATTATCAAACACAGAGAAAGAGGCCACATAATGAAATAGTGTTTAAATATTCGTTTGTTTAAATCCTCATGCCAGGATAATTCGGTTTATTTGTGTATTTGAAATCAAGCAGGACATAAAAATTAGGCAAAGTATATTTAATATTATCTTAACCTACTGAATTGTATCAATCTATTAATAATTTTTCTCTATTTCGACGTATCAAGTCCTTTGATATAAGTTTAGAATCCAGCGTCGTCTTCTTTTAATAAGCTAATTAAATCTTCATTATAAATGGCACTATGAAAACTTTGACACCACGAACGCAAGAAAAATTCAAAGTTATTATGGTGCACTACCTAGTGTGGAAATAGTTCAAACAGGATTAACAAGGCGAAATTGTAGTTGCCCATGAGATTGATTTTTCGAAAATCTATGACATAATGTTAAATGTTGAATTATATTTACATGCAAAAGTGTAGTTGATAACCGAGCTGTCATCACCGCGGCCTGTCGATGTCACGCATTTATATTCCCCTTGGTCATCTGGTGAAACACCTCGAATGGTGAGCTCACTTGAGGAATTTGTATGCTCCTCCTGATAATTGGTACGTATCTGTGTATTTTCAGTGGTATTATTCAAACTTGACCCGTTATGTAACCAGGTAAACTGGGAGGCAGATGGGTTAGCATCTACACGGCAAGAAAAGGTAACATCAGTCACAAACTGCAGAAAAGAGAGCTCGAGGATGACAGGATTATCTGTATTTGAAGGGGGAGAAATAGTTGAATAAGGGGTAAAAATTGAGAAGAAGAATAAGAAAATGTACTAAAAGAAACAAGGACAACAAGAAGAGCAAGAAGAGCAAGAAGGAAAAGAAGGAAATAAAAAGTTGTAGAAAATTAGATAAACTGGAAGGATAACAACTTACAAGGAGGAAATTTATTTCTTGAAAGAGATTTTAGGGTAAAATTGATAAATCAGACGTGGCAAAAAACGAGGAAAAATATCTACCATAAAAGTATTTCGGAAAACGGGTTAGACCCGACTTATATCAGAATAAATGTTTGCTAAGTAACCTGGCATTTAAATGTTACGATGTTAAGTTAATGTTAAGACAAAACGAAGAAAGGTTTGAAGTGAGTCGCATGGATTCCAGGGAAAGAAAAGAATCAAATAATAAACTACAACCCGAAGGTCTTCTTTTCCAATCCATGTGACTTTAGATAGATACTAAGGAATAGAGAGATACAACAAATATTGAAGTACAACTATAAGAGAAATAGAAAATAGAAAATATAACTCGCTTTTGAAACATGAATGACATACGGGTACTTACAGAGAACATCAAGAACCATGCTAACGTTCTGAGACTGCATAGACAAGGTACTGATTGACGTCATCTGCACTGTTCTACATGTGAGGATTTGTCCATGGTCCGCTTTTGACGGTGTCAATTCAAGTGTACTTCTGACGTATGCTCGTTCATACTCATCAGGTCTGGTTATTTCCCGAGATGGAAAGGTGTCGTTCCTAGATCCTATATACCAGTGGATCGTTGGAGAGGGGTAACCATTGTTTGATGTACATTCCAGCCGTGCGCGAACACCATCTTCCAAGTTATAAGGGATGCTTATCTCTGGAGGATCCGGTGTCTCTGCATGATAAAAGGGACTTTTAGATTTGCACGTCGACATAATGGACTGCTACGTGTCACGTCTGCCTTAAAAGGGACGTGACACGTAGCAGTCCACTATGTCGACGTGCAAATCTAAAAGTCCCTATTTTTTAATTAAGCCAAGGCATTTTCAATGGCCTTATACGTCACCTATCAAATGTGCGAACATTAAAATGAGGTATTACCTACACATATTGTGATTTCTATGGAACATACAATAGGTTTTTGAAATTGCACTTGAGTTTTTTTTAGGAAATGATTAAGATCGTGTTTTATGAAACACGAAAGTTCCTTGTGGCTTATGTAAACGTTGTATAAACGGTTGACGATTTGGGGGACGTTTTGCGAACCTTATCAGCTTGTTGTGTGTTTTCCGGCAAGTGAAACTGATAGAAAAATTCTAGGTGACATTGTAGAATTACTGTGTTTTATATTGATATACCATTAATGTCCATGGAGTGTATAAGGGTAAATCTAAACTATTTTCAACCAAACGTTACCGCCCAACATTTTAATATATCTAAATTTGATAGCCCAAATTAAACTTAGATCAGACCTATGGGAAGTGAAAAGACAAACGTGCTGTCAATTTATGTTCAAAAGTTTGCCATCAATTGCAAATTTGAAATAACATTTCTGATTGGTTAGTAACCAGCCTTGATAACAATATGTGCGTGTAACAATGATTCTGATTGGTCATTACCACTTTGGTATAAATTGCAAACCTTTGTACTACGGGGCCAAGATCTCCAAAATACTGATTGGGAAGGTTTGGGACACCACATGATCAAAAACTTGGGACTTGCCCATGTTAGTGTCACCCACCGTATACGATCATCCTCAGTTCCTCTTGTGCGTCTATCCCCGCAACGTGTGCTACACAGTAAAGACTTTTGTTGTGATAGCGTCTTTCCGGCCTTATTCGAAGAATGCTTTCAGTATCGTACGCAAGTTCACCCAGCGAGTTCAGACCTCTCGAAGATGAAGTTACAAATTCCATTGTCGCATTTAAGCCACTAATACGCCAGGACATTTGGGCTGCTGGTCGAGACCCCAAGCTTTTGCAGTTGATGGACGTAGAAACGTTCAAAAAGACAATGGTACGGTTTTTTCCCCTTGCGTTCGTGATAGTATCCATAGAGCCAGATGAGTCAAGTAGTAATTTGTCTGGTGAAACTGTACAACGAAATAAAGAAATGCTCGAGTGTACTACCATCACAATTCATGTCCACAGATACACAAGCGGTAGTGCAGTGAATACTTGGAGATTACAAATATACCTAGGGGGAACTAATAGGGAAATGCTTGATTAATCAATTAAAAAGAACCATTTAAGGCCACGTAAAATAACATATTTATACGGAGCCGTATCCAGAGATTGTTGAAATAAGTGGGGGTCTGTGGATGTACTACCTTTGAATTCGTTTTTAAATAATTAGGCCCCATTTTTTTGCAACCCCATAAGCTATGAGATGGGTTCCGTGTGAGATGACACTTCCTCAAAACGTTTCAAAACCAAAACCAAAATTGATTTATACTTGTAACCTATTGTAATCCTCAACCACAAAGCAAATCAATCATAGTAATCACAGCATTAAAGATTTGCTCAAGTCCCACTCCAAAGAAATGTTATCCTGCGCTGATTGTTGTCTACTTTGGAAGTATACGTGTATTTATTTTTTGGAACGTTACCTATTATCTTGAATAGGTTATTTCCAAGAGACTTTGAATATCTTTTTCCTGACAATCCTCCCCATTTTCATGTTTACATGTCACATAGAAATAGTCTTACCTTCCATGATGTTCAAACTGCCTAACTGCTTCAATTGTCAATAATGAGACTAAACTATCGCAATGTTTTTAATATTGTATACAGAAGTAATGTCCTCCAATTTGTTATGTTGTTTGTTTCCTGTATATTTCCAAGTACATGCAGTACTTGTGTAGATAGTCCCTATGGAGTTTTGTAGAGTATGGTATTGTTCTGAAGGAAATCAATTTTCCAAAAAAAAATCCGACAATGACCAGCACTTTAGTTGACTGGTTAGTGCTAAATTTATTTGGAGCACTGTATATTGGTGAAGAATTTTGACTCTCATACGGGGCATCCCAGATTCGATCTGTCCATGGTCGGTGCTTACTTCCTTTATTAAGGTGATATTTGCTGGGTCCTAAGAAAAAGCATTATTGGTTATTGTTGTTATCATTAGTAGTAGTAGTAGTAGCAGTAGCAGCAGCAGCAGTAACAGTAGTAGTAGTAGTAGTAGTAGTAGTAGTAGTAGTAGTATAAGTTGTTGTTGTAGTAGTAGTAGTCGTAGTAGTAGTAGTAGTAGTAGTAGTAGTAGTAGTAATAATAGTAGTAGTAGTAGTAGTAATAGTAGTAGTAGTAGTAGTAGTATTAGTGTAGTAAGAAGAGGAAGAGGAGGGGTGGTAGTAGTAGTAGTAGTAGTAGTAGTAGTAGTAGTAGTAGTAGTGGTTGCCGTATACAAATTTAGTTAAATTTCAGTTTCGTGTCGCGTTTCCTTACATCAAATGCTGGTAGATTCAAATCTTACCTGGTTGTAGAATTGTCAGATTGAGAGTGAAACTTCCAATGTCATCTCCGATTTCTACGATACATCGATAGCTCCTGCCATCAGCTCGCGTCAAATTCATAATGGTTAGGTTACCGCTGGAGATATCTCCCGCGATGTTGTACTTGGATGGACGTGGTACGTTTTTCTGGCAGCCGTCTGTAGTACAGGACTGAGAAGCTAGTAAGTGGTTTGTATTGTCTTTCCATGTTATCTTCCGATGTTGGTGAATGGGAGAGTACATGCAGGATAGTGTGATGTTATTCCTCGTTACTGGAATCTTGTCATGGTTTATTGATATGGACACCGTTACGTCACATCGGCAGCCTGAAATTTAGGTCATGTGTACATATGTGATAATGATGATAATAATAATTATTATCATTATTATTACAGTGATAATGATATAAACAAAAATTATAATACTCATAATAACAAGAAGCAGAAGAAGAAAAAGAAGACGATGAAGGAAAAGAGTGGTAGTAGTAGTAGAAGTATTTTATTTCATGCAAGTTTCACAGGCTTGTTCAATAATTGATACTGTTAACATATAATAAGTAAATTATGCGGTGTCTTTCGATGACAGATAAAGGTTGTTATATGCGGATAATGTTAGGTTTTTATAAGACAGCAGCGATTA